ATTTTATTTAACTTAATTTTCACGAATACATTTCTGATAAATCCAAATCAGATAGTCACAGATGTACAGCGTGGAAACAGACCCTTCGGTCAAACTCATCCATGCCGACCAGATATCCTAAATTAATCTAGTCCCATTTGCCAGCATTTGGCCCATATCCCTCTAAACCCTTCCTATTCATATGCCCATCCAGATGCCTTTTAAATGTTGTAAATTGTACCAGCATCCACCACCTACTTTGGCAGCTCAGTTCATACACGCACTACCCACGCGAAATTTGTCCCTTAATTCTTTGAACTATAGCTATGTCCTCTAGTTTTGGACTCTCCTACCCCAGAGAAAAGACCTTGGCTATTCACCCCATCCAACTTTATAAACTTTGATAAGGTCACCCCTCAGCCTCCGATGCTCCAGGGAAAATAGCCTCAGCCTATTCAGCCTCCTGCTGTAGCTCAAACCCTCCAACCCTGGCAACATCCTTGAAAATCTTTCCTGCACCCTCTCAAGTTTCACAACATCTTTCCTACAGCAGGGAGACCAGAAGTGAATGCAGTTTTCCAAAAGTGGCCAAACCAAAGTCCTGTACAGCCAACATGATATCCCAACTCCTGTACTCAATACACTGACCAATAAAGGCAAGCACACCAAACGCATTCTTCACTACTCTGGTCTACCTGCGACTCCACTTTCAAGGAACTATGAGCCAGCATTTAACGTGTCTTTGTTCGGCAACACTCCCCAGGACCTTACCATTAAGCATACAAGCCCTGTCCTGGTTTGCCTACCAAAATGCAGCACCTCATATTTAGCTAGATTAAATTCCATCTGCCACTTGGTCCATTTGATCAAGGTCCTGTTGTACTCTGAGATAACCTACTTCGCTGTCCATTACACTACCTATTTTGTTGTCACCTGCAAACTTATTAACCATACCTACTATATTCACATTATGTTTTGTCATTTATATAAATGATTTTAATGGACCCATCACTGATCCTTGTGGCATACCACTGTTCACAGGCCTCCAGTCCAAAATGCAACCCTCCACCACCACCGCCCTCTGTCTCCTATCTTCAAACCAATTTTGTATCTAAATAGTTAGCTCACTCTGTATTCCACATGATTCAACCTTGATAATCAGTCTATCATGCAGAATCTTGTCAAACACCCTAACGTTCATATAGACAACGTCCACCACTCTGCCTTCATCAATCTTCTTCGTCACTTCTTCAAAAAACTCAATCAAGTTAGTGAGACATGATTTCCCACACACAAAGCTATCTTGGTTACCCCTAATCAGTCCTTGCTTTTCCAAATACATGCAAACCCTGTCCCACAGAATGCTCTCCAACAACTTACCCACTGATGTCAGGTTCACTGGTTTATAGTTCCCTAGCTTTTCCTTACCACCTATCTTAAATAATGGCAGCCAAGCTCCAGGCTGCCAGCACCTCACTCGTGGTTATCAATACAAATATCTCAGCAAGGGACCTAGCAACCACTTCCCTAGCTTCCCACAAAGTTCTAGGGTAACCTGATCAAGTCCTGAGGATTTATCCACCTTTATGCATTTTAAAACGTCCAGCACCTCCTCCACCAACATGGACACTTTAAGATGTTGCTATTTATTTCTCCAAGTTCTCTGGTTTTCATATCCCTTTCTAAAGTAAACACTGATGCAAAACATTTGTTTAATATCTCATCCATCTCTGGAGGTTCTACACATAATCAGCCTTGCTGATCGTTAAGCGGTCCTATTCTCTCCCTAGTTACTCTTTTGTCCTTAATGTATTTGTAGAATCCCTTTGGATTCTCCTTAAACCCGTGTGCCAAAGCTATCTCATTGTCTCCTTTTTGTCCTCCTGATTTCCCTCGAGTGTAGTCCTACTGCTCTTACACTCTTCTAGGGATTCACTCGTTCCCTGCCGTCTATACCTAACATAAGCTTCCTTTTTTTCCTTAACAACACCCTCAATTGCTCTATTCATCCAGCATTCCCACACCTAACAGCCACGTGCTTAACCCTAACAGGAACATACTGTCTAGGGACTATCGTTATCTAATCCTTGAAGGCCTCCCACTTTCCAGCCAGCCATCGCTTCACCTACGAATATCTGCCCCAAATCAACTTTTGAAAGTTCTTGCCTAATACTGTCAAAATTGCCATCCTACAATTTAGAACACTAACTTTTAGATCAGGTCTATCTTTTCGATAACTATCTTAAAACTAATAGAAATATGATGCAATCATGGCCTTCACAATCTAAGAGTATATCAAACCCAATTTCCTCTGGCAAAAGCAAAATACTGTAATATTTGACAAATCTGGCTCTTCAGAGCTCTGATACAAAGCTATGTCAAAACCAAAATGCTCGTTCCGAGAGCTGGTGACCACAAAGTGGACCACATGGCCTCCATTGCTGCAATGACACAGTGATTTTGAGATACATGGAAGGACTTAGAAGGGTTAGGGTCTGAGCAGCTGAAGAGCCAATGGTGGAATTATTCATGAATGATCAAAAAGAATCCAAAGATCCTGGAAAGTTGAAGAGTAGAGGAGTGGAGTATTATTTCAAATGAATAAAGACAGTAGAAACTTACAGCATATAGGGATTTGCTCACTTCTGTTCATTAAACTCAAAGCTAGCATACAAGTTCAGCAGGTGGTAGGGAAAGCAAATGGAATGTTAACCTTTACTTCAAAGGGTATAAAAATAAGGAGGTCTTGCTCAAACTATACAATACACAGTACAGCTAAATACTGAACAGTTTTGATCCCCCCCCAAAAGGGGATTGTATATTGGTATTGGACAGAGTCCACAGAATGTTCGCTATGGAGGGACTGTATTATGAGGGGAGGTCAAGTAGGATGGGACTGTATTACTGGAATTTAAATGAACAGAGACATGACCTTATTGGAATATACAAGTTTCACAGGGGACTTGACAGGTGAGATGTAGAAAGGTTATTTCCCTTTTGTGGGAGAATCTAGTACCAGATGGCATAATCTCAGAATAAAAGGGTCACCCTTCTGAGTCAGAGCTGAGGTATTTCTTCTCTCTCGGGACACTGAATCTGAGGGATTCTTTATCACAGAGGGCTGTCGAAGCTGGGTCATTAAATATAATCAAGGGACTCAATGGTTGAATGACCTGCTTCTGCTTCTTTGTCTTATGGTCTGAAGGGGACCGATGATATGAAGGAACAAAACTGGTAGCAACACGAAAACAAAATTGAACAATTTGCAAATTGAGGTTTTATTCAATCAGAATTTGATGTAGATTAGTGAACACAGGGGAGGTCCAAGCAATCTTGGACAGACTTAGGATATGAGCAGAATGCATGAAGGATAGAACATGAAAGACCAACTGGGGACACATTTGAATAATCAAGACTAGAAACAATACAGACATCATGAAGATATTAGTAGACCATCTCAGGCAAGTTTAATGTCATGCTATGTAGGGAGAGGCAAACTTCGTGATGGTGCAGATGTGTGGTTGAAACTCCCTTTTAGATTAAATAAGACTGAGGTTAAAACAGGCAGGTTTAGCCGGAGTTGACCGAAAAAGGAACACAGTCAGTGGCAAGGACCAAAAACACTAATATGTCCCCCAATATTTAAGTGGGAATCATTTAACAACCCAGATAATTTCACAAACAACCCTTCAAAACACTTATTTCATGGAAATAATGCTTCATAAAATTGCTACATCACTATAGCCGAATCAGAAGTTCCATTTCAGTGCCAAACTCCTAAAATCATTATCTGAAATTCATTGTTGCAAAACATACCACCACCTTGGCAACTATCTATCCACAAAATAAAGGGCTCTGACATAACAACATGAACTCAGTAACTGGAACACCAATAGCCACTATATCTCTTAATTTGCACCCTTTTTTAATAATGAGAAAAGACAATTTCATAAAATGTCAGTAAAATGATCTTTCAACCATTTCCTCAACCTTGGCCTTTACATGCTCCAGAAAATTAAATTCTTTAAAAATACCTCGACACCACTACTCAGAAAACAGACATACTGCTACTGTGAAGACCCTGAAACCTGTGCTGCCATCACATTTAAGTACTGGCTCCAACTCATTGTGCTCAAAGCAATTATGCTACACTGTGACAGTACCTTTATTGAGCATTTGAAATGCCTTGGGATATTATTCTACACAAAAGCATGACAGAATGGAAATTATTTTGTTGGTGGGATGTTCTTAATTCCATGTCCAAATCGTTTCTACAGCTATCATCCACAACATCTTTTACTTTGCTTATGCAGCTCAAAATGCTCTCAACAGATGTAGAGAACAGCAAAATCCATAAACTGCAGTAGAATAATTAGACATTAAAATTTCATTGGCTGAAATCCTTGAGGCCATACCACACAACAACCGAATTTAGAGCTTTGCCTTGTTAAGATGAAGGATTAGGGACACCTGAGAAACTGACAAAGGCAAACTAGAAAAGCTGGAAATGTTAAAGTCAATTTCAATTCTTAACAACGATAACGCTTTTTCGTTAAGTAGTTACTGATAGAGGTTGAGCTGTTGATTTCTTGTAGATTTTTTAAAAATCACTTTTTTTCCAGGAAGGACAATGATGGCAATTTGAATTTTTAAAACATTACAGTCCAATTCATTACCTTTCAACTTCTTTCAACCAGTCAACAAACTATACAATGTGCAAACATACAGATGAAACCTGACTTCCGGGAAAGTACCAACATGAAAACAATGAAAAAGGCCCATGAAATAATCAGCAATCCAAGGAAAGCAACATATCATGAACATCCAAACATGTGCATCCTCTTCGTTTCTAAACAGCGGAGCACAGTCTGTGGCAAAGGCGACTTTAAAGCTACCGATGTCACCCATACATCTTATTACTACTGTGAAACAAAAGGCATCGAGAACTAGGATAAATATCCAATCTGCACGCAACCCGACCCCTGCCGCCGTCCCAAATCTTTGGGCCCTTTGCCTCTTACCTCATGCTATAAGCACCAGATCCGAGCTCTTGGCCGATTCCAGATAAACTGGAGTCGAAATCGTGCACGAGCCCGGACTCAATGGCTTCATCCATCTTCAGTACCCAGGCCATGGTCAATGTAGGTGGCAAAGGCCGGACTGGCCCAGGCGTTTACGCTCTGGGGGGTAAGGGGAGTGAGTGGGCGCTTGCAGACGGCGACGGCGCGCACGCTCTCCCCTCCCCCCGCCTCGTAGTCCCGGTTGCTAGGAGGCGGCCTGTCCTCGCTCTCGTGCTCTCCCAGAGCAGGGCCCTGCTCACACGACCATGGCAACACTTCAGATCCAGATACAGTTGCCGTCTCTTGCTCCTCTTCGTCAGAAGGTAACGCCGGCAGATGTTAGGGGGAACAGCACGCTTTCACTCCGCCAGGAACTCACGCACAGCCCGGCTAAGCACTAATCCTGAGGCTACCTCCTCCGCTTCGTTCTCTCACCAATTCCGGCACAAACATGGCCACTCACCTCCAACGAACCAACCGAGTCAACGCGCGCACAACGTCACGAGCCCTCGATCCAACGGCGCGCGCGCACGGCATTGACGGGGCATGGACGTGAGTGCGGCGCGCGGACCTTGTCTGATTGACAGCTCCAATAGATGAATCAGAGCAAGGATATCCGCCCACACCTCCGGCAGCTGTCCAATAGCGCCCGCAGGATTCTGCAACGGTTGCTCCGTTGATTGACGCGCAGTGCAGAGATGAGAGTGGCCAGTCCGTTGAAAATGGTGCTGCAGGCAAGAGGCGGAGCGTGATCGGGATTCGGTTGGGCTAATTTTTTCAGGTGTGAATAAACAAACCGTTTAAGAGCACTCTCTCCAGCGATGGCGTTGGCTCACAACAGAAATAAAGCCGAGAATGTGGTCGGTCAGTCATCATCTGAACGAAAAAGGTGAAAAGCTCCTGCTGGACTCTATTTCCCACCCCCTCGCAGATGTTGCATGACCGATTGGGTATTCCTGGCAATCAATATTTTAATGACAGATTTCCAACATTCGCACTTTGCAGTTGAGAAGGTTGATGTTTGAGGGTTGATTCCAGCAGAAACGCGCTGATCCACCTACTGTGGATTTTCGAGTCACTGAGCTGTCAAAGCGCAGAAGGAAGCCCATTTGGCCTCTCATTTCTGCAGGCAATTCACCTGGTGTCAATCTCCCACCTTTTCTCAGTAACCCTGCATGTACTTCCTTTTCAGTTTTATATATATATTAATCCAATGCCTCGGTTGGATCCACTTCTACCACATATTGAGCTTTACATTTCAAGTCTTAACCATTCGCTTGGTGAAAAAGCTTTCTTCCCATGTCTCCTTTTTTTTCTTTTCCCGGTTATCTTCAATCTGTGGTTCTCATTTTGAATCCTTCCACCAATGGAACAATTTCTCCATCTCTCGTGTCCAAACTCCTCTATCGATCTCCACTCAATCTACATCTCCAAAGAAAATAGACCCAACTTCTCCAGTCAACTTATCTAACTGAAATATTGATAAGGCCATGGGCTTTTACAATCAATTTCTGGGAATCTAGGGTTTATTTTCTTGCCTGTGATACTAATTCAAAAGCTGGCAGTTGCAAATGACCTGCTTAACAAAAGAAGAAATGTCAGTAATGCCAACCCCATTCCATGCGTCATAACACAAACTCTTAAAAATCATGAGTTACCATCTTTTCAAACATAAATCAATGTTGATTTACAGCTGATGTCTAAACCTCCTTGGTAGCTCACGCAATCTCAACGGATCAGTGTTATTTACTAGAAACGTATGACTATCTGAAATACTTTATAAAGATTTTTTTAAAAACTTATCCGTTTGAGCAAGGTTTCTCCCCCACCACAATCAGATCAGGTTTGAAAATAAAAATCAAAATAAAAGTAGTTCAGGGAGCATTTAGGGAAAAAAAACAAAGGTAGTGGAGAGAACTGAACAGAGACCAAGACTATATTGGCTAAATGGGAGTGTGGGACGTCAACAGTGAAAAAGTTTTAAAAGCGCAGTGTTTGAATGTTGGAACAGGTTTGCAAGGATTCAAGTAATAAAGCAAACATTTAAAATCATCTGCCTAGGATTTCTGCTATCTCCCGGCCGAAGGGAGAGGGAAGTGCCACGATAGCACTCTGACCCCTCAGCTCACAGTTTCACTTTTACCCCTGAGGATTAGTAGCATTTTGTTTTAAAAAAAAAGGGGCCGCCTATTGGCACTGATCGGCAGATGAGTGGTCCACGTCTGGATCCCCGACTAATTGTCAGTAGAAAAATCGCGAAATTTCACAACTCTTTCACAAGAGTGAGTGAGGCTGGATTTGTCTGAAAATTCCTCTTTCCGTTGCGCAACTAACTTGTCTCAATTATGTAAATAGCCGATGACCAGACAGATCATAAATATATTTATGATCAACTCTAATGACATGTTGCAGGCCTATTTAAATACAAGAAAATCAAGAAGTCTCGCTCAAAAAAAAGCTGGCCTTGCTCAACTGGAAATGTCAAAACTTTTTTTTTGTAAGTAACATTTTAAGCCTTACAAAAGATCAGCTTTAACCTATTTAAATGGCGAACAGGCTCAAGGGATTGAATGACATATTCTTGTTTTATATTCCTGCGTACACTTCCATATGTTTAAATGGTTGTGCGGACTGGAAAAGCAGAGCAGCTGGATTTTTCTCTCTAACGTTAATCTGTGTGCAATTTATTTCGAAATTGTTCACAATTTATACAAGGCGAGCAACTGTCATACCAAAAATAGATACTTTGTAGATCTGATAGAAATTGAAATGTATTCGGGATACTTTGGTTCCGGGATTACCACGAGCATAGAAACAGGAAGTTCGGTTCGAATTTATTTCAGTGCAACACTATATAATTATCTACCCATCTATCTATATGTATATACATACATATTTGGCTATATGAAAAGTTGTTTGGGAGATTGCATTAAATGTAAAACGCCCAAAATTCTGATCTGGCTGTAATTCGAGCGAGATGTTTAATTGCTATAAAACTGTTAACCTAGTAATGAGAAAAGTCAGTACACTTACTAAAGCAATTGTCTGAATAGGTATAAGAACAGCGTTTTTTAACTACGTAACGATGTCGTCTAGCAATAGGTGTTCAAAATCCATTTAAAGTGACCTAGCTGTTCAAAATTGCGACTGCGATTGTGAAAATTTAAAGACACTTTAAAAGTTTGCAGATAGCTTGCAGATGTGGAAAGGTTTCAGTTTTGAAATTTTAAGTGATTTTTATGCCCGGCAGTAAATCCGTCGCAGAAGTGTTGTGAGCTGTAAAGAGATGCAATAATCACTGAAAAGCACTTGTCGAGATTACTAAACGTTGCGATGAAGTGGAGTGTGTTCAATTCTATGTTAACCATTGATTTATCATTTTATTTAACCCCTCTCAACATTTGATTTGAGAGTAATATGTAATGTCTGTACCCATTGCATTTTTATTCCGGACAAGATTCCTTCATCTGATCCGTTATGACGGATCTGATCTGTCCACAGGAGCTGCTCTGCGTTTGCAACATTCTCGTGCAATTTATTTTTGTTCCTAGCATCTCCAAGTTTTTGTTAGAACCATTTTAGAGACCAAAAAAAAAACTGCAGATGCTGGAATCCAAGGTAGACAGACAGGAGGCTGGAAGAACACAGCAGGCCAGGCAGCATCTGGAGGAAAGGAACAATCCTGCGGAAGGGTAATACCGAAACGTTGACTGCTCCTTTCCTCCGGATGCTGCCTGTCCTGCTGTGTTCTTCCAGTCTCCTGTTTGTCTACCTTTGTTAGAACCATAACGTGAAACCGTGCAAGTTAATATAAATGTTTCAAAGCTAGTTTGGTCTTGTTTTAGAGGAATGAAAAGTGGGTGTGAAAATTTAAGATAACATGCTAATAAATATGTAATTTCCGGAGAAAAAGGCTGAACCGACAGTCCGCTTTGGTGAAGTTAACCAGCGCTTGAAATAAAGCTTTGTTAGCCCGCTAAAATAAAACAGAGAACTGCAGATGCTGGAAATCTGAAAGAAACAAAAACAGAAATTGTCGGAGGATATCCAGCACGTCTGGCAGCGTCTTTGGAGAGAAAACAAAGAAGTGTCACTGGATCCGAAACATTAATTGTTTTCTTTCCATAGATAATGATAGACTTGCTGAGTTCCTCCAGCAATTTCTGTTTTTGTTAGTTAGCTCGCGTTCTTCTAGTGATTGGATTGTTCGGTTCAGGGTGAAGCACTTAGTTCCTGTATCTCTGTCGAACAAGGCGGGTATTACAAATATTAAGGAGGACATTCTTACCGGAGGTAGCTGTTGTTACTGGGGTACTGATGATATTGTTCGGGTTGGGAATGCCAGAAGAGCATCTTGTGATGTGATCCAGGGTGTTCAGTCGAGTGGTCACTATAATGAGAGGTAAGAAAGCTCTTTTAGATTCCCGGATGAGTCAAAGCCTGAACCTGGCGCTTACACTTTTACCTGACATCAGTCACATTGTAGATATCTTCAATAGGACTGGGGATGAAACATTGCCCAATCACAAAGCCAAAGACGAATCGTTGTCGAGGGGTGTGCTTCAAAGATAGAGACTCAAATGCCTACATACAGCTATGAACATAAGTCTAAAATCATGTACACAAAGACTATCTAATGTAAAACTTTTGAAGTGATACTGTAGGGACACATTAATGGACCATACAATTTCATGAATGCAAGTGCTTAGTATTCACTTTTCCATTAGAAATCATTTAATAATGAACTATGGGATTCCTTGCTTCAGTATTTGAAGCAGAGCACAAAACAAGTAAGTTTAGGGGAGGTGATAGCCTAGTAGTACTACAGCTAGACTGTTAAACCAGAGACCCAGGTAATATTCTGGGGATTTAGGTTTGAATCCTGCCACAGGTGTTGGAATTTGAATTTGTTAAAAATCTGGAATTGAGCATCGAATGATGACCATGAGTCCATTGTCAATGTCTAGGCCCAAAACGTC